CCCCCCCCCCCCCCCCCACGCTTCGCGCTTGCACGATATGCTTGTCTGGACTCCCTACGAGTCCGATTACGTTTTTCAACCCTTCTACTAACAGCCCCCTGACTGCGGAGACCGCGATGTGTACCGCCCCCGAAAGCATCGCGATTTTCGCTGCCGCTCGAGCTAAACCGAAATTGTGACATAACGTGGTGGAGCAATGGATCTGAATGATATCGGCGGCATCCCGGCTCACCTAGCTTGGCGGTAATCGCTTTCCGTAGGCTATGATATAGTTTGGGAGAGGATACCTGATCAGAACAGAAGATCAAGTAACGACCACGTCTACAAACATAAACTTCAAAACCAGAGGCATCTTCTCGAAATCTAAACACAAGCATCCCATTGTAGAGGGAAAAACATGACGCCCAAAGGCGCGATTTGTGGTGTGGTTTTTGCCAGGGATGGACAACGCACCAATTACCGTTTAGAGCGTGCTTCATACTGTTGCATTTCTTACGCGACTGTGCCTCGAATAGGTAAGTAGCCTTCAATGGTGCCGAATGCTGACAAAAGCAAACTTGACATATGCCATCGCAATTGGGAGAAATCTGTTGTGTGCTAGCCCAACCCGAAAACAAACCTACTACTTGCCAGCACTGGCACGAACAACATACGTTCTTCGCAGATTGGTAAAATGTCGTCACAACGTTATGCTCCTTGCAATTACTTGGAACACAACCCCGGTATTTTGTGGCCGCACCTCTCGGGTGACAATTCTGCATAGCCGTATCTGTTGATAGCCGTATTTGGTCTCTCAGCAGACATGTCTGCTTAGCGGTATCTGCTGATAGCCGTATTTGGTCTCCTTGCAAACGAATCTGCATAGCCGTATCTGGTGATAGCGGTATTTGGAGCACAACCTGTAGAAGCACATATCTGATCAAGAGCATCACGAGGAAAGAGATGTGTCAACGACCGCGGCGGCGGTCTGGGTACTCATAATACTGTGAGGCTCGACTCGAACTGCGGTCCCGCACATCACGACGGCCGTCACGAACATCGCGGTGCCTGCTCCAGCTTTCCACCGGCTGTCGCGCACGGCTTGCACGATCTTCATCACGAGCATCATTTCCCCCATGTTCGCGATCACCAAAATATCGGCTACCTCCCCGCGGACGCGTATTCTCCATATCAACATCATCGCGATGCGCACGGTGATGGCGAGGTTGGGTGTCTTTCCAATCACGGTTCTTGCCCTTGTTGCTGTCCTTGCTTTTCCCTTTGGCCTTACCCTTGCCTTTGCCCCCTCCACGAAAGCCTTTGCCATATTCTGCTGGATCGATGCCCCTCTCGAAATGAGCCGTGTTGACGATCTGTCCTAAACCCCCATAGCCTTTATGAATAAATTTCGGGATCCGAGCCCAGTTTGTCTGCAAGTGCGGCATCTAATGAATGACACTCAAATCATGTACGGGAACATGTGGAAGGCTTGCTCGGGGCTCACGTTGGAGTAATCAAATGCAGAGCCATGATGAAACCTCGCCAAGGTTGTAGTGTGGGAGCTGGCATTGGTTATAGCTTGCAATAGGATAAGAGTGCTCATCATTCTGTTGTTGAAGTGCCTACCAAACTCCGTCTCGGTCGTGGAGCGCAGTCTGGGCTGTACCAAAGGCAAACACCGAAACTCCCCATGAGTAGGAAGGTATAGGACCTGTGCTAATAACTCGCTGTCGCCCTCGCCGTCGGGGGACCAAATCTGGAGTGCATTCAGGTCTGTCTGATACGTCGTAGATGCAAACAATGATGGGGTGTGGTCTGATAACATGTCCAGAAGAGCATAATATGGCTGGCGCTCCAAGCGGGTCGAGAATGGAACATCCCGCTCGATTCGGAGTTTCCGGTCGTTACTTCTGTCTTGGCTGTCTCTCCAGTATCTGGCCTTCTGGCGAAAGGACGTCAAGAATTGACGACTTCCTTGCTGTTGCAGGTAAACTACCCTGAGGATTGCCTCTGTGTGGGAAAGAATATGTGTGGAGCATGATTGGACGGCCTCTTGAAAGTCCAAACCAGCTGAGTCGCAAAGGAAACGACTGTTGTACTGAATAGAAGAATAGTTGGTGAACGGGGCGAGGTTGTGCAGAATGATGGTGCGGTGGCATATCTCACCCTCAAGATTTCCCAACTGCATTTGACGAAGGCTCAACGCTCTCAATACACTTGGCGCCCTTCGGTTTGATACCGCAGTGATTGTGTCAGCCAACATGTTGAAACTGGGCTGCACGTGCTGCTCGTGATAAGCCTTCAAAGCCGAATCCAATGTTGCTCCAGTAACTTGCTGTGTTTTGAGTTCATCGTCCAGTGCGGGAGGATTGTCTGGGGGCGGGAGCATCTGGGTCTTGACCTCCTGAAATTCACCTGACGGGGTGAGTCTGGGGATTTTGCTGCTGTGGTGCAGGTTTTCACGAAACTTTGACAAGGCTGCTTTAACTTCCGGGCGCTGTTCCAACTCTCGTCTGTAGTTGGGGTCCATGTCTCCCCACTCCAGGGTTGTGTAATCAACCTCGTCATCCTCTTTTTTGATAGGCCAGCTGGGGCTGCACCGGTAGTTCCACTAAGCTCTGATAAACTGGACATCGCCGACCTTTTCTTGATGTCATACATGGCGTCTACAATCATGGCGCTGGTAGGTTCACGACGTTCCGTGCCGTCCGGCATTTTTTGAATCAATACGACCCGGTTGTCCTCGTAGTATTCCACTTGTAGCGTAGGAGTAAGAGTCTGTGTTCGCACAGTTTGCGAAGATTGCTGACTAGAATTTTCAACGCTGTGGTCCATTGCTTTGCCCTGGCGCACCGACTTACCTGGCCTACGGTGCTCGAGCCTTCTTCGGCCCTTTACACACCCAAAACCTCAAGGCCGAAACCCTGAGTTAACCCTAACTTCCCACGAGCTCCGGCTTCAGGCCATTTCAGGCCTTCCTCTTCACGGCAACCGCCTGGGCTTCGGCCGCTTCGGCTTTCTCCTCGGAGACGCTCGAAAGGGATTCTTGCAGTTAGTGCGGGGCTCTTTCCGGGGCCGCAAACATTCAGGATCCTGCTATTGGGTCCTAGATCATTGCCGATTGTAAGTTGTAATTCCCTGCAGATTTGCACTTCGTGCCTCCTCATCCAAGATGGCAAGTTCTGGCGCCTGGCCGAGCATGCTCCGTCAAGGTCAAGCGTGCTATCTAGCACCCCAGAAAGCAGGTATTTTGGCAGAGAAGACCGACAAGTTGCTGATAGGTTGCGACAGTAGCCCACGACATGCATACACATTTGAAGCTGTCTGGCCATGCTGCAGTGGCTTCTGATCACCACTGCTACTTCCCCAGCTGCCCGTTGAAACTCACGTGCCTTGCTTTCGTCGGCATCTGACAAGGTGTCGACCAAGTACTGCTGCACGGCAGCAAGCTGCTCCTACGTGGGAGCATCTTCGGACAGCATGGTCGTGCCACTTATAGCAAACGAAGCATGCCCCATACGGATTGGCAAGGTCCTGCATATTCTTGACCTCCGCTTTTCGCAATGATATGGCCTGACGGTGCAGGTCCGATATGATGCCCCCCTCGCTCCGTTCCCCGTAACGCCAGCGTCGGTTCGTTGTCATACCTACTCGTAGCGGCATCTTCGATCCCACAACGCGTCAGGAAGGCATCGATCGCACATGCATTTTCAGAAACACAAACACCACACCATGTTGAAAAACGAACTGTTCCCTCGTTACTTGACATGTCGGCCTCACGTAGTGTCTTGGACTTGGCGAAAGTGGCCTGCACACAACAACATGCACTAAGATCAAATTCGCATGATCCCATGTACCTGCATTCATGCAGTGCAACAGAAGGACAGCCGTCGTCTCATGCTTGGCGTTATAGTTGCTGTGTGCTTCTTGCATCTCCTGGAGGTTACGACGTCGCCTCGTTGTTTTTCTTCAGCTGCATAATGGTCTTGGCCAGGTCAGCATTCTCCTGCTGACAAGGCGTAGGGATGGAGTGACGCAAGTCCCAATCTCCAGAAGCCAACGCGCAAAAAACCGGCAACAGACGCTTGCGACATCGTACAGAACACGAACACAGAATGCAGGTTTTGCGAACACACGCAGCATAAATCAGCATAAAAACCCTGACAAACTATACCTGTGCTACAGTAGTACGACTGCTGTTTCCGACACCGCGATGACGACACCGAAAGCCATTACAGCGGTTTTAGCAAGGTTAAAGGATTCTCGTTGCGGCGTCAGCTTGGTCAAGTCGCAGAGTTCTACGTGTGGCCGTGCATTTCGGTTTGAGGACGTGCAACCTGATGCTCATCGCTGCGAGACTTGTGGCAGTGCTCCCAGTGCTGTGGCACCCGGACAGACACTCGGAAAGTCGAAGACTCCAGCCTGAAATTGTGTATGGATCATCTTCACAAGATTCGGAGTCATCACATATTCGGATCATCTCGGGACCAGGAAACTATGTTGCTGGGAAGATGTGTCTCAGCATTGAATTGAAAAGCTTTTGGATTATAATATGGCTTCGGGGCCATGAAGTCACTCGGCGACCCACGAGCAAGTCTTCGTTAAGACAGAACAAGTGAGGATGGCAGTGCTCCTTCGCCACACCCTGGTTCTTGGCTTCCTGCTCCTGGACAGGGGGGCTCAAAACACCCTCTACCTATCATGATTACTCGAGAGGCCTTCAGCTTTCGGTCGAAGACTGCCTTCTGCCGCTGAAGGCGCAAGCTGTTTTCGTGCTCTATCTTGAGCATCTTCGCCTGGCCCAGCCAAGGCTCTGCTGTGAGTTGTGTGTGTGTGTGTCTTGTGTTTCTCCCGGCTGTGCCTCGAGCTGTTTGGCCTCTGAGCTGATGCCAAACCTTAGGAGCAGCTGTCCGTTTGAATGAGAAGCAGATTCCACCAATAAGGCGCCTTTGCAGTGCATGCCCAAGTTTTCTCAACATCTGAGCTGCCACACATGGTTTGGGAAGTCGGGCTCATGATGTCATCCAGCGAAGGAAGTTCTGGCATACCTTGTGCGCAGACAGGTTCTTGCGAGTGCATCATTTCACATTGGATGTCACTCAGGAGCTTGCCAACACACATTACCGCAGCAACTTCCGTCACATGAAAAATTCCGACGAAATCCAACTGCCGCAACATGTTCTGCAAGATTCAAATGCTTGACACTTGGTCGAAGATGAATATGCGCTCAGGAGCCATCCTTTCCCGCCTCAGAACGACAGAAACCAAGTCAGCTTGCACGCAACTATCTTAAATTGAAACACTTCCTTCGACATGGCTGCCAGAGCGAAAAGAACTGCAAAACGTCATGCCACATGCTCAGAAAGCAAATTTGCTTACCAATAACCAGCACTCCTTCTGCAAGACGCGTAAGTCTGAAGCATTTCGGACCGCGGGCACCGCGGGCAGAGCGACTTTGGCGGGATCTGGTGGCAGCTCCCGCCCCTGACCGACATCCGGTGTGGAAACATGAGCAACCATGAAGCATCATGCTGTTATCCAGCCTTGGAGGACAGGCCACTCACAGTGCCAAGCACTAAAAATAGGCGCTTCATTGGTCCTGGCACGTTCACACAATGCAGTTGGCATGTCTTGAAGTGTAAGGTGTGCAGCATGGATTCATTACGCACGATGCCCTGTGTAGCAGCATGCACGTTCGCGCTCTCAACCTGAAAGACTGAATCTTGCATTATATCCGCCGAGGCCACAGGCCTCAGGCGTCTTGGGGGTTAGATTCAGTACCTCAGCCCACAAGTTTCGTTACACCCGTTCCGGACCCCCGCCCCCGCCTCCTCCCGCGGATCTCCCGTGCCCTTGCCGCCCCTCACAGCCCAAGCCGCCCCTCCCCCCTCCCCCCTTGCCCCCCGCCCCTTTTTCTTTCTGCAATCAGCGAAACAGAGTGGGTTGTCACAGTACTGCTTCTAACCAGTCAAACTTCTTGGCTCGCATGGGCTATCCCAAACAAATAACCACACACAAGCAACATGCCGCATTCGACCCAGAAACTAGCGGGATCACACAATACATGCTTTCTCATGAATCCGACACTTAGAACCCACCACCGAATCCATCTCCCTGCAGCCCGAAAGTCCGGTGACACCAGCTTTTGGGGTCCAATTTCGAGACTCAAGCTAAAGACTCAGAGACACATGCTGCCGCCACAGTCAGGCCGAGGCGGGCGGCGTAGCGATATGATTAACACTTTTGAAGACCCACAACCAACCGAACCAGGATGCCTGTGCCACGGGTTGCCCGACGCTGGGCAAGACCCTTCTGAGAGCCATCAAAAATGCGCCCGGCATTCAGCTTCACGTGAACATGCTACAGAAATATCTGCACGCTTCAAACATCAGGCTTTGCCAAAGCACGGAGCATTTTGCTCGGAGGGCAGCTGTCGAACCACCTCAGCAGCAGCAGAAATGCAAATCACACAGGCTGCAAAGCACATGCACCGGCGGGTAGAGAAGTGAGTGAATACCAACAAACGGACAGAGTGGACAAAGACCCTGAAAAATGCTTTTCGAAGCAGATTGCGGCAACCATGCAATGCAAACGGCAAAGCAGAATCCGCCACAACTTCCACACCTACTGAACAAGCCTTTACAACATGCAGTTTCCTTGGCCATGCCGGGACCACCACTACCTGTACCTGTTCCATCTGTTTACAACCGAACCTCATGGTTAAAAGGAAGGATCGGGGCAAAAAAGGCGTTACGTGAAGAAGGTGCTACAAGCTTGTCCTCGTACTTCTGAACATTTGAAATCTGGGGTAGCAGCTCGCTTTTGCGCATACAAGCGCCACAAACTGACAAAATTGGTCTGCACCTGCCATATTTTGTTTCTGCCCTCTCCGGGGCTCTTCCCAAACGCCTTGCGACTCCATGACATCTCGGAGATGCATTTCTGCTGACGACTGCCCAAGCCTGCGAACTCATGTCCTGTCACCTCCACCCGTCGGTTTTGTGCGCTGCCGGGGATTCCAGGAACATGGCAGAGACGTCAAAACACCGATGCACGCTGGCCAACGTTCCGCACGTAGACCCTCGATTTGGTAAGCGCCAGCTCAAGACACACCGCTGTGGCAGCGCGGCAAGGCAAGACCAGCCTCTGCATTTCGCGGAGACTCAGAGACGATGGATTTGATGACAGTGGTGATGTCGACGCCTTTCGATTCTATGCACGAGGCAAACAAAAGAGAATGGAAAGATCGGATGATCTGGACAGGTCTAGAATTGTAAGATGGAAGACTGCGAATGCGTTGCAGAACACTTTCACCATGCAGAGTCTACGATCACACAATGCAAAAGCATGGAGGGAGGTTTCGCCTCACGGGAGTTCTCAGCATCATCCTCGGATACCGATTGCCCAACTTTCCGGCATCCCCTGCATAATTGTGGCAAAAAATCACGTCGTCCACACCGAAGCCCGACGGTGAAGTTACAAGTAGAAGAACAGCAGACAGGATGCCACAACCCCGAAACACACAGAAACACACAGATGAAAAGAAAAAAGCAGCATTCAGATCAGAACGCGGTTCCAACTGCGACAAGCTTCGGGCTCGGACCCTCGTTGATCCGAGGTGAGAAGCGGCCGTCCCGTACGGAGCTGGCGCCCACGCCGCCTCGGATGCGGCTGTAGACTCTACGCTTCGTGCTGCAGCTGCATCACGCGAAATCGACCTGGACTGTCGTTCTGGGTCTTCATGCACTGCAGATCTTGCTCAGGCTTCTGCTAGGAGGCGCAGCTTGCAAACTACCACGGGCTACCTCATCCCAGCAGCGAAGCAAGAAGCAACATACTTCATACATTTCTGCTAGTGGTAGTGCTCGTGTCTCATCGAACTCATGCAGCCAGACCGCTGTTATATCCAAGCGAAGAGCAGCGAAGAGAGCATGTCATGCATCCATCTGAAGCCCATGCATGCTACAGCCTGAGGCCAGGACCGTACCTAACTCTGCATGCCGCCAGCATTCCAGCACATGGTCTCTGCACCATTGGCACAAACAGATGCTGGCTCGACTCAAAAGACAACTGGGGCGTGCCAAGACTCTTCAAACAAAATGTTCTCAGACACCTCGACGTTCAGGAAAGCCCTTACCGGCTGGCCAGCCCCAGTTTCTGAACCAGTGCAAAGCGCTCAAACGGCCACTGCCACGTTGCCGCTGGACGACTTCGAGCTGCGACAGACATGTGCTTCTGCCGGCGATTCTATGGTCTCAAGAATGACGGTCGCAGCAATCAACGCTTGCAGACGTCACAAGAAAAGATGATTGCAAACCATCCACGCTGGTGACCGGTGACGTCTCCTCTGCAATGCTCTCACACAGCCTAATTGTACTTACATCACACCCGTCTTTCGAGCATAGCAGGAACCAACATCTGCCACCCAAGGCCACCTCCTGCTGAACATCTAAGGTGACACCAGACCTTGCTCTCCGGTGGCAGGTTTCGGGCTCGGATGTTCAAAGCTCTGGGAATCTCACTGCCAGCCCGCTTCGCTTGGGAAACTAACATCTTGCTACAGGCTTCCCTCCTTCCTTTAGCAGGCTGTGAGTCACTGTATGCTTCCCAGGGCTGCTAAGTAGTCTACTACATGCCTTGCTTGCTGCATTCCTCAAGGCCCTGCCGATTGCTGCAAGTGTCCTTTGATGGTCCTTCAAACCAAGTCCGAGCACCCTGCAAATGAAAAGATAGCCACGACACAGTTGGATAGAAGAATCGTCCTACGAGTACCAACGAACCTATCGTGTGCATTGCCGGGGGGGCAAACCGCCTTGAGAGACATGCAGCTCAACTGGGCATACGTGATACTGGAGCTGCACGACACACCAGGCTGAGTGCCTGCCAAAGCATACGCTAGGCATTTATTCATTGCACGCTTGAAGCTTCGCTTTTACGTCTCGTGCACCTCCGAGAGAAACGTGCAATATGATACTGGGCCTGGACCTTCAGAAGCCTCATCAACTTCTGCTTATCTTCATCACGGCTTAGTCATGCGACACAAGGCCAGGAGGCTTGAACAGGCTCTACTATTGGCTTGTCAAGTTCGGAAACATGCAATACTACCATGCAGATTGAAGTATGGGTAGTGCAACCGCCGGCAGACAATAGTGAAGCGATGAGCCAGCAAAAGCTCCAAGCATATTTGAAGGAACATCGGCAACAAGTGAATGCTGAATGTGTATACTACCAAGGCAGTGATGACGAGATGCTGCAAAGAGAAGGGGACCCTTTTCCTATCTCCTATACTTGTTGCAGTATGTTGAAGCGCTGCTGCCGTATGCTGCCGTCCAAACATGAAGGTTCGTGGTCCGCTGCAGCATCACCGGTGATAGAGTAGCTTGTTGGGCTACGTTATGGGTTCCGGGCTTGGCAAAGTGTCGTAGCACCAGCACGCAGAACAGCTTAGGGGTTGTGGCAAGAGTTCTGTGTCGAACATGGCGGGTCCCCTACCGTTACAGAAAATCTGCAATCATCTGCCTAGCATGCTCCTGCAACGGAGCCAAATCACATCGCCCTCAGCGTTTGAAGAGAAGCTTTGCTGGCATTCCTTGGGCGAATCGACTATCTCATCCCAGCAGCTTTGCTTCTCCTCGCAGCGCCGAAATGTCGTGACAGGACTCCCTTGCAAGACACGAGGCACTGAAGGATGGCGTTCTGATGCGTCCGGTCAGGAGATAGCATCACCGTCTGCAGGAAAACTCGCTGAAGAAATTCACGCCGAGATCCTTTAGCGCCAGTACTGTGCACAGCATTTGCCTTTGCAAACACTGTATAAAAAAGGAGCCCGCCGTTTCCTGAAACTATATATGTTGCTTTCCGGTACAGAGCCTCCCTGCGAAACTCCTGTCCTACAAACGTGTGGTGAAACAGTGGGCTCAAGACTGTCAGCGGTGCCATCGACCAGTGCTGATTCGCTCCAGGTGGCGATGAATGTTTTCATGAGAGATTCGCCGACATTTGTTGCACCGGCAGCATACACACTGCGCTGGGTGAGCACTGATATCCTAAGGTGAGTGTGAAGCTGCACTTGCGAAGCCCTTGATGGTCTTTCCAAAAGTGTGGCAGCATTGTGGATGATATCATGTACTGTTCGTGAGTTTATATACTCCGGGTGCTCATCCGCAATGGTCGCTTTACCCCTTTGGCACGCTTGTCGTTGAATTTGTTTTTGGGACCACAGTCAGGCCTGCCCAACGCAACTCCGTTCAACTGTTCCTAGAAGCTCTGTGAAGCACTGCTTGCCAGAACATTGCCATGGAGTTGAAGGCAGTAGATTTACGGCACGAGATTGACAATGCTACCACTAGTACTCTAATAACAGTGACAAGAGTTGTGCTGAGTCTCCCTGCGCTGTTGTGGAGCTCGCTGTGAGCTGAGGCTGTGTGTGGCTGAAGCAGGGCCTTCTCTGGTTCATGGTAGAAGCGACGGCATACCATCGTGTATGAATTTGCCTTTGTACTCGGACCTCCCACTCCTCTGCTTCAGGCCCACACCCAGCCATGACCCTTCGAAACGCGCCTGGATTCTGCCAGCATCCCTAGATCCCTAGAGCACTCAAGCGTTTAGAAACAACTGAGAGAGACCGGCCGTTGCAGGGCCAACTCAGAAGCAACGGTCACTTCCGATACTGTTGCGAAATCGGCAGCTCAATAGCTGAGATCGGTGCATGGTAATGCTGGCAGCAAACGTCCCGAGCCCAGGCGTTGACCCAAGAGCTGTCAGCTTTTGGCAGGTCTCGCACATGGAGACTTGATACATCATGATGATAAGTTTCACGAGTCCAAGCAGAGGTTTAATCTGCAATGCTGTGTTTAGTGCGCACGACCCATCGAAAGCCAACTCTATGATACACAACGTCGAACTTTTCCTTCAGTAGTAACCTCGGCAGTGGACAGACGTTCAGCAATCGTCACATTGGTGGAATGACAATGCGCCGTCGGGTTTTGCCATGTTCCAGCATGGTGACGAATATAAGCATCAAAAATGTGCTACACTGCTACGCTTTCATGAGTGAGAGGGGGAGCTGCTACACTTTCATGAGTGAGAGGGGGTTCGCACTGTTTAGCTGCTTGGTCCACCTCCTCCTCCTGCTCCTGACATTTGCCAGACGGAGAAGCCACGACATCATGCAGTTCTGCAAGCTTGCTGAGCTGCCGGGCCTACTGTTCTGCAACTCCCACGTCTCCTCTCCTGCAATTCCAGCTTGCTTTTCCAGGGATTGCGCACGATGAAAAACCCTTGACCCCATGCCAAAGCAGAAAACTGAGCCCTGCACCCGCGCCGAGGCCTTGCACTGCGGCGCTTGACCTGCCCAAGCGATTCCAGTCACTCCTAGGCCTTGGGCAGGTCTCCACATGCCATGACGTACCAGGATCTTATCCTGTCCCTTAGGCCCCTTAGGCCATGGCAGAAGCCTTTTGAGGCTGTGGCATGGCAGGTTTCCTGAGCGACAGGAAGTTCATTGAAGGCAGCAGCACGTGACGGGCCCCTCTGCATCTGCTTGAGAAGCTGGGATCAGAACAGTGTATCTGGCACATCATCGTCATCGAAATCACCTTGCAACATCCAGATCGGGGATTCACTATTCGGGACGCATTGTCCCATGGCACAGACGACTGCTTTCAGCGGCAGGGTCAGCAGAAAACAAACCTAACATGCCATCAATGTGCTCGCCTTGCCCGCTCATGACCTTCTCCCACTTCACTCGCAACCGACGGTTCGGCCTCGGCCCACTATTCGACTCAAGTAGTGGGCGCAACGATATGGACAGAGCAACCAAGATCCCGTCAATATTGACAGGTTGGCCTTGATTGCCTGCAGCCGGAAATCACGACGCTATCACTGGTAACAAGAGCTCTTCTAGCTTCTACAAATCCTCGCCTCAAGGAGTGCACGACTCTGCTCAGGAGTAGCCATTTGCAAAGCTCGCCTGCCAAGCCCAGAGTCATGAAGCCGACGGGTGTGTTTGAACAAGCTTCATGCCCGGCCCGGGATACATGCAACATCATGCAATCTCTCAAAGAAGCAGCTGAGATCGTAACTTGGCAACATAGTGCCCATAGTTGCCTCAGGCGTGGTGATGGGGACGTTCAGCTCAGAATGCCATGCGACTCAGAGATAATCCATGGTTTTCGGGCTATCCCTCTTCCCGTCGCCAACATGTCGCCACTCCGCTCAACCACAGCCAGGACCGACCAGCAGGCTGTTTGGACGATACTTATGTAATGTACTTCATCGTTTTCTCTGTCGCCCCGCACACAGCGCCTTCACGTGTGTGGCAGCAAGGTTGCCCAGGCCAGGGATCCCCTCTATCATTTGCCCAAGTTGTGGTGGTAGCTGGCCTGGGACGGCTCAAGGATCGTGCGGTTTTCGTGGCACCAGGAACGCCCGGAAAGCGTCCTTTCAAGGTCCTCTGAAACGTACACGGCTTCCGATTTCCATTGGACTGCCGCAGTGGAGCGTGCAGGCGACAACACGCTCGCTACATCTCGCTACTATAATGCCGGACGTTTGCAAAAATACCGCGATGCTTGACACAGATCATGAATAGGGCTTGCAGAAGACGAGTTGCTATTGACCAAAACTGACATCTTCTCGCTTTCGACGAGCTCCGCGATGAAGCGGTCGCGGAAGTCCGCTGGCGCCGAGCCTGGATTCAGCCGAGTCGATGCAGGTAGAGGCGCCTGCCATTGCTGCACTGGGCCGGTTCCTGAGGTCGAAACAGAAAAGCTTTTCAACCACGTTGGAGGAGAACTTCTGGATGCTAAGCTGCATCATCCGGCCCTGAAGTCTCAGAGACTTGTCACATCCACGCAACGAGGCTCCGAGAGCATTGCTTACATGTAATCTGTTAAACAGGATCTGACGTGGCCTCTAGCTTGTGCAGAATCGGCTGGCAGCAGTTGCCTCCCCACTCCTGTTAATGAGCTGAGGTTTATCAGCAGCTGATGTAATTTGCACGGTGGCCGACTGGTTCTGCGACCTGTGGCCTGTGGCCGAGTGCAACAACCCCATTCAGCTGAAACAAGAACTTGTCTCCTCCAGCGCATGCTGGATCGCATAGTTCCCGTAAGGACTCTGGACTAAATCCATTGCCTCAGAAGCTGTTTCGCTTTGGCATGTCATTGTGAGTGCACTGTGCCGAAAACTGATCATCATCCGACACGGCACTGCATGACATGATTATCCTCACACATGCAGTCGTGAGCAAAGATACGTGCTGAGGCACGAACATGTCGGGCAAGCTGCTTCAATAGCATGTCCTCGAACCAGTTCTAGCGTCACTCCCCCATGCAAGGACAAGCTCATGCCCACATGGCGTCCTGGTGCTTTGAGGCTGGTTTCGCCTCCAAACATCTTTGCCACAGATAGGGAAGACATGGAAGCAAAGTCAAGTCTACAGCAGAATCACCAACAGACCTGGGGACTGCCTTTCACAAGATCATCATGTATTGGACGTTATCAATGTTACTTCTGCACGGGCGAGCCTGCGATATGCACTTCTTGAGCACGCACAGCCTCAACAATCACAATGAGCAAAGCAGCAAGCTGACCTGATAGTCCATTCCGAAAATTTTGCCGCGACTGCCATCCGTAGCAGCGGCATGTATTGGGACCATCACCGAATAGCAAGTGGCATATGAATCACCACTGCGAAGAAATCACCACCTCAGCACATCCTCCAAGATACGCACCACATCAACACAAACCGCATTTCAGGAAAGTGTAAGCAGAAGTGCCTAAGCTCATGGAGCTCATCCATCCTAAATTTCAGTTTGTCGATTGTTGATGTAGCAATCGATCGTCTAAACCACACTGTATCTACTCCATGGTCATCGGGCACCTCGGCCGGTGTCTCATCTAGGCATACATCCCGACTTAAACTACACAGCCTTCCAAGGGCAATAAGGTTTTCCGCTTTCGAAATTACTTCTTCTCTCCCGCTTTGTTTGCTCACCTGGGATCTTTTGTCGGGGACATCTCCCTCTTCTGGAGGCTGTGGACTGCCGCATGCAGACACCTCCTGCCTGGAGACCGAGCATTGGGTTCTTCAGGTTGTGGTCTGGATGCATGGGTACGACAGTGAGATGAAAGTAAATTCGAGCCCCATCATCGTCTGCGCACATCTCACCGCATCGCAATGACTCATTCTGTTGAGTCCCTGGGACGTATTTCCGCACCATACACACAATACAAAATGAAAACAAACAAGTAGCGGAAACATCGCTCGGGAGCTTGAGGAGCTGGAATGTCCGAGGCTGCGACCCGTACGGGTGATGCGCCACTTCGATCATTCGATCATTGATGGCAATGTAGATCCACTCCTCAAATATGCAGCGGCCAGCACGGAGCATCAAGCAGAACCGCGTTCAGCTGGAATGAAACTCAACATGGGACGAGAGAGCTAGCCGCTTGGCAACCCTGTTATGGTTTAGATGAAAGTTCTCGACTGAGTGCCAGGCTGTGACTGAAGGGAGAAAGCAACAAAGAAGCCTTTGGACCTTAGCATCCATCCCTTGACTCGGGCATCAAAACTCCAGCATGCCTGCTCAGACCGTCTAGCACATCCCGCAAGAAAGCTCGATGGCATGGGGCCAGGGTCCCCACCACGTGCGTGCCGTTTGGATCCATACCTCGACTTGCAAGCAACTTCTATGCTTAACCCCAGCAGGCTTGGACACGAGGGCGCTCAAGCCGCTCAAGACCACACACTTCTAAGCTCCGGGCTCAGTTCGATGACGCGGCTCTTGATAGCGTTCCTGCTTTTGAGTGTCCCACTCATCCCGTGCCATTTTAAGCATGTGCTCAGGGCAGGTGAGTTGACGGCATACACGACACCTAAGAAAGACGGTGGGAACACAAAGGGTACATGAGCCGCCCCGCCCCCTCTAAGCGGTGACTCCGTCCGTAGATTGGATTCTTCGCACTTGACACAACTGCTGGCTAAGCTGGCCGCTTAGCATACACACCCCAAAAACCGCTTCAGAACGAAATCTCGAACATGTCCAAAAGCTGCTTTCCGATATGTGTGTTGTGGGCCCGTGGGCGCAAAAAACTTTCTGATGCTTGTGCAGGCAGCTTTACTTTGACATTTCTGACCGGAGCAAATGCTGCCATTTCTGCCAGCGAGCGAAGCGATTTTGATGTGTGCGCACTATACTTACAAGACATCGTGGCACAAGTAGAGTCAGCTAGAGATGACGACGTGCGTAACAGGAGCGGAAATTTCCTCATTGTTGCTTCTGGTGATATCACGAGAAGCTCTCTTCCGATGTTCCTAAACGGAGGAGACAATATCACAACTGAGCCACGGACATCAGCAGCTGCTGTTCCTCTTCGAGCTGCAGCAAGCCAATGAGAGCCTTTCAGGTCAAGTATAACGTGCCGGGGTTGAGCTGTGTGAGTGAGGGTGCCTGTGTTCCTCCATTGGGTTGTTTCGCGGTTTCGAATGGTGCACTGCAACCGTCGTCTCACTGCACCGAATGGCATTCGCACGCCACTAGCATCTCGAGAGGCAGCCCGGCTTCCAAAATTGCAAGTGTGCTCGTTCATTTTCGCAAGAGATTAGCGAAATATGTAAGACGCATGTGTTCTATTGCTTGCCAGCCACAAGGTTGTCCAGCAGATTGGATCTGGTTCAAATGGATCCAAGTAAGTCTGGTAGCACCTGCCCTTCGAGATGGTTGTGATGTCTGTTGTGGTACATGATTGTGATCGTAAGATGATGACTGAACGTGGTTGCGAAAGGGCTGCAAGAAAACAGACACGTGGAAACGGGACGAAAGGGCCTGGGGACCACAGGCCCATGCAGGCCCTTCCACCCGAACTTCCTACAAAGCATTGTCACCTTAACCCTTAACCCCTAGAGCCACAAATGCAGAAAGCCACGAGAGCCTGAAACCCAGAAGCCCCAAAACCCTAAACCATAAACCAGGAGGCTCTTTTTTTCCTCTGCCGTCAGGTTCGTCCAAGCGGCACTTTTTTTTGATCATGAGACATAGATTGTCCACATGCCACTCCTTCCTGGCTTCTGTCCTTCGCTTCGGAAGACTTAGGAGTTTTTTGCAATCTCTTAAGAAGTTCCAAAATGCCATATGAGGCCACGGAATAGAAAACCCTTGCCACCTGTACCGCACCAACTGAACAGTAAATCCCCACTGCAAGCCAACAATCAGAAAGTCGTCAAATGGGTGGTTGTCAAAATTATGGTCCCTTTGGAACCTTATTATAATACGGCACCTATTATTTAGGGTACCCCAAAAGGGACCATAATTTTGACAACTACCCAAATGTAAGTGCGAATGACCTTGCTTTCCTGGCAAACGAAGTCCGAATGACTTGGCGAAAAACACTGTGGGCTCGCCTGCAGAGCATGTGTCCCACGCTTGTCGCACGCGATGGCGGCAACTTGTGGTGAGAGCTTCTCAAGGATCCGCTTTCTCTGCCTCAGAGGTGGGCAGTTCGATCATTCCATGCTGCTGATGCCACGCAGACCGAGCAAAGAACTGAGTCTGACAAGTAAGCAGGTTAGCGGTCTAGTACCAGCTGCAGCTCTAGCTGATGTGCGCACACGACGTGCTGGCACTATGGCATACACTGTTGGCAAGTGCTGCACGCCTGGGAGAGCATGCCTGAAATGCTGCACCTCGGTGGCAAACTTTTCGGCAGCTGGACACTTGAGATTACGCTGAGTAATTATTTCGCTCGATTTCAAATCAAATCCTTGATGGGTGTTAATGGCTACAGCGCCTTTGAGGTCGAGGCTACAGAGGTAGTTGCCGTAGGAGTCGCACATCATTCCCGCAATCTCATCCTCGACCTTTCGCTTGCAGAAACACAGGCCGTGCAGGAAGCTGCTGCAAGTACCGGATAGAAGCAACATGAAGCAACACAGGAGCTCATCCTGGGTGCAAGCATTTGCTTTTTGACCTGATATCCGAGGCTCAAGCTTCTGCGAGGATCACATCCATGATCGCCCCTGTCATTTGCAGTCTCTGATCAACCGTCGTCTGGCTCCCGAGTACCACGCCCAGCATGGCCACTGGCACCAATGCTGGTATATATTAGCTATCGATGTGACTGCTCGTGGTGGCTTGTTTCCACGAATTAAAAGAAGGGAAAGTTCAATTCTTGGGAAGTGCATCTCAACAACAGGGTTCGTCCTGCGTTGTTGGTGCGAGTTGACTTCGGTCAGATATCCAACGATACTGAGCCGGACTAAGCTCGGGAAGCTGGCTGCGACTCGCGGTCTAGGGTGCATCTGGGTGATCAGGAAGGATACTTCAGACGTGATCTGAATTCAGCGGCTCATGTAAGAAGCCTGAAACATCCCAGGCATCACCAAGACCTGAAGTCTCCGAGATCACCCCGGATCCAATGAAGCCTGGTCCCTTTTGTAGCTGCCGCTGTAGGTACTTGCCTTTAGCAAGACAGTGTCAAATCGCGGAAAACATGCGGCGAACGGTTTGGCCGTGAAGAACATGGCCAGAAAGTGGGGCCCATTTGCCGCGAAGCTGAGCCTGCGGCTCCCTGCTTGACTTCGCGAAAGCTGACCGACCTGCATGCTTGCTCTGCCTGCTTCGTACGTCTCCGAACTCTGACAATATGCTGATGCCGCACCCTTAGTGCACCTGCCCCAGCAATTCTGCCGCTTCGGCAGGAAGTGCTGCTGCATCGAATCTGGCAGTGTCCAGAACGCTGCTTGGCTTTTCTTTCAATTTCATGGACGTGTTTCTTCAGGCTTGGCCCTATTGCGACTGGCAACCATCAAACAATGTGTGCTACGACTGCCGTGTTCAATCAGCCGTCACAACCATGATCTTGCTGAACATGGTACCAGTACCATGGTGCTCCTCGACCCGACATGCCGAGCTGCCTGCCACGTGCAGCCCCGTTTGGACCGCGACCTTTGCCGCCCTGGAACAAGATGCGTGAGATTTAATGTGAATCCTGTCAACCTAAAGTCTCGTGAGGCTTCTTATGTTAGAACATGTTCGAATGAGAAACCAGTGGGACATCTCGCAGCACCTTGCCATTCGCAGGGGCGGCATCAACCTTGCATCAGACTTGAGGGCCAGGGGCATGGAGAACCAAAGCTCGGTCTTTTCTTCGCAAGCGGGTCTCGCAGAGAGACATGGCGGCACTGAGCGGGTCTCGCAGAGAGACATGGCTGCACTGCACAAACACGTCACAAACAAGTACTGATATATCAATTTAGCCCCCCCGCTCCCCCCCCCCTCAGGAAACCAGAGACTCGCATGAACCTTTCAATTTCAACCCCCCCCCCCTCCGTGGCAAAACACGGGCTTTCGAATGAACCGTTCAATTTAGCCCCCCCCCCCCCTCCCCCCTAAATTGATACTATCAATAATACGCTGGTTGCTGGCCCTGGACTGCCTCCCTGCCTAACGGCAAGACTAAACTCAAGCTCTGCTACGCGAGCTTTCGTGACATCCCGTGCAGAAAGAAAACAGCATGCACGAATGGC